TTTCTTAAATAAAAATGTATTGAGTGCCTATATTTGAGTATAACAATTGAAGGTGCAGTGTTGAATAATTTACCCTACTTGACTTTGATAGTAAGGGAGACAGGTTTATAAACAAACATACTAGCTGATAACATAGTTAATTATGGTAGAAACACAGAAGATGGTGCAAATAACTCCGGGGTGTTGTTTAGTGAGCCTTTACAGAAGAGGTAGTTTTTAAAGCATTTTCACTAAAGAGTAAGTGTAGGCACTGGCCAGATGAAGGGGAGGAGGTGAGGAGAAGGGTCTTTCAATAAAAGAGAATGAACATATGTAAAGACCCAGAGTTACGAAAGAGCCTGTGCATTTGAAGAACAGCGTGAAGTTCAATGCAGCTAGAGCATTATTGTCCAATATAAATATGAACACAAATGTGCAATTTAAATTTTTCTAATAGCCATACTACAGAGTAAAAAGAGACAGGTAAAATCAATAATAACACATTTTATTTAACCCAATATATCTGAAATATTTTTTTTTCAGCTTAAGTCATTAAAATCAAATCAGGTGAATATTTAACACAAAACATTTCAGTTTGTCTTCCTTCCTTTCTTTTCTTTTCTTTCTTCTTCTCTTTTTCTTTTCTTTTTTTTTTTTTTTTAGGGACTGGATCTCGCTATATTGCCCAGACTGGTCTTCCTGCCTTAGTCTCCCAAAGTGTTGGGATTACAGGCATGAGCCACTGCCCTCAGCCTAAGACATCTCAGTTTGGACTAAACACATTTCAAGGGCTCAATGTATAGAAACTTAGCAATGCATGTGTATGTATGTGTGTGTCAGAGAGAGAAAGAGAATGAGAATGAGAGGGGGAGGAGGATAGATAAGGTTGAAGTAGTTGTTGGAGTCATATTTTTAAAGGCTTTGCATGCTGGCTTATTTTAGAATTTTTTCTTAAAATTTAGTAGTGAAGGAACAGTTTTGAAAATTTTGAATTTGTTATAGACTAATGCTTTTGCAAAATAACAATAAATTAGAAAGGTGAAAGTAAAAAGACATACAAAGAGAGGCATCATTTTTAAATCATTAAATTTGACAGATGTTGTCTTAGTCTAGTTTGTGCTGCTATAACGGAATACCACAGACTGGATAGTTTATAACTAACAGAAATTAATTGGTTTACAATTCTAGAGCCTAAAAAGTACAAGATTGAGGGGCCACATCTGGTGAGGGCCTTTTAGCTGCATCAAAACTTTGCAAAAGGCATCACATGGTGGAAGGGCAAGAGAGGCAGAGAGAAAAAGCAAGAGGGGGTAAACTCACTCCCATGATAAAGAACCCGTTCCCTCAATAAAGGCATTTGTCCTTTCGTGAGGGCAAAACCATCATGATTTAAACGCATCTTAAAGGTCCCACCTTCCAAGACCATTACGAAGGCAATTAAATTTCCACATGGATTTGGAGGGACACAGTATTACTCCCCGCATGTTTTTCTTACATACAAAACGCACTTATTTCATCCCAATAGCTCCAAATTCTTAATTCTTTCCAGCACCAACGCAAAAGTCCAAAGTCTTATCTAAATCAGACATGGGTGAGACATAACACAATCCATTCTGAGGCAAATTCCCCTCTAGCTGTGAGCCTGTGAAATTATACAAGTTATCTATTTCCACAATACAATGGTGGGACAGGTATAGGATAGACATTCCCATTCCAAAATGGATAAATAGGCAAGGAAGGGGTAACTGGTTCCAAGTAAGTCCAAAACCCAATGGGGACAACAACAGTAAATCTTAAGGCTCAGAAACAATTTTCTTTGACTCCATGCTGCCCTGCTTCCTGGACACACTGGGGCAGGGGTTGAGCCCCGAAGGACTTGGAGAGCCCTGCACCTAAGGCTTTGCTGGATGGTTGGAGTCTTATGCTTACAGCTCTCCCGGGCTGTCTTTGCGTGCTGGCTTTGCGTGCTGGTGTCTACAGTTCAGGAGTCTCAGGTGTGGTTCTGCCCCTGCAGCTTCACTAGACATCGCTTTAGCGGGGACTCTTTGTGGCAGCTCTGCTCCTGCAGGAGTTTTCTACCTGGATCCCCAGGCTGTCTGATACCTTCTTTAAAATCTAGGTGAAGGTAGCCATGCCTCCACAGCTTGTGAACTCTGTGTGCCTGCAGAATTGGCACCGTGTGGATACCACCAATATTTACTGCTTGTGCACTCTGGAGCAGAGGCCTTAGCTGCACGTGTGCCTGCTCAAGTCATGGCTGTAGCAGTTTAAGGGCACTGCACCAGAATGTGGGGAACAGACATTTGAGGAGGTGAGGTGCAGGGCAGTGAATTCTAAGGTCCCTTGGGTGCCTCTTCGGAAACTTTGCCCTCAAGATTCTAGCTTGTCTCAGAGATCCCTAAAGTGCCTTTGGGGTCATTTTCTCATTGTGTTGATGAATAGCACCTGGCTCTTTTCTAGCCATACAAACCTTTTTAGCAAATGGTTACTTGGCCACACCCTTTGTTTGCATGCCTAGGCACATATTTTTATTCTTTACATGGCCAGGCTCTGAATTTTCACAATTTTTATGTTCTATCTTCCCTTAAATTATAAGTACTGTCTTTAAATTATTTCTTTCCTCTCACATTCTATTATATACATTTAAAAGAAGCCACACAGCTCCTTCAGTATTTTGCTTAGAAATTTCTGGCTGGCGTGGTGGCTCACACTTTTAATCCCAGCACTTTGGGAGGCTGAGGTGAACGGATCACAAGGTCAGGAGATCGAGACCATCCTGGCTAACGCGGTGAAACCCCGTCTCTACTAAAAACACAAAAAATTAGCCAGGCGTGGTGGTGGGCACCTGTGGTCCCAGCTCCTCAGGAGGCTGAGGCAGGAGAATGCTGTGAACCCGGGAGGCAGAGTTTGCAGTGAGCCAAGACTGTGCCACTGCACTCCAGCCTGGGAGACAGAGCGAGACTCCATCTCAAAACAAAACAAAACAAAACAAAAAGAAAATTTCTTCCATCAGATATTCTAGTTTGTCACTCTTAAATTCTGCCTTCTGTTAAAGCCCTCAGGCATGGACACACTTCAGCCAAGTTCTTTGCCACTTAATGACAAGGATGGCCTTTATTGCAGTTTCCAATACATTGTTCTTCATTTCCGTCTGAGACTTAGTCAGAATTGCCTGTACTGTCCATATTTCTGTCAGCATTCTGGTCATGAATCTCTAAGAAGAATCACTCAAGTAATCTCTAAGAAGTTCCAGACTTTCTCTCTTGCTCATCTCATCTTCTGAGCCCTTCCCAGAATTGCCCTTAATTCTCTATTCATTGTACTCTAGGCTTTTTCTAGGTTGCTCTTCCAAATTCTTCCGGCCTCGCCGCATTATCCAATTTCAAAGCCGCTTCCACATTTTTCAGGTATTTGTTATAACAACCCACCTCTCTGGTACCAATTTTTGTCTTAGTTGTGTGTGTGTGTGTGTGTGTGTGTGTGTGTGCGCGCGCGCTGCTTTAACAGAATACCACAGACAGAGTAATTCACAAATAATGAAAATTTATTGGCTTTAGGGTTTCTTGCCACATCATAACATGGCAGAAGGCATCGCACAGAAGGAGGGCAAAGAGGGGATAAGAGAGATCAAAGGAGGCACAAACCCCCTCCTGCAATAACATTAGTTTATTCATGAAGGTGAAGCCCTTGTGTCCTGAATACCTTTTGAAAGTCCAACCTTATAATACCATCACAAGCGCAATTACATTTCAACATGAGTTTTGAAGGGGAAAGATGTTCAAACGGTAGCAGACATACAGTTTATATAAAAGTGTCTAAACCAGTGATCTCCAATAGAACTTTCTGTCATGATAGGAATGTTCTGTCTGTGCTGCTTAATGTAATAGCCACTAGCCACAGGTAGCTATTGAGTACTTGAAATGTGGCTAGTGTGAATGAGAAAATGAATCCTTAGTTTAATTTAATTTTAGTTAATTTAAATTGAAGTGACCATATGAGACAATTGATTACTATATTGGACAGCATTGAATACATTAACTCTTAATCTCTGTATTTACCTATTGTGCATTAGTAAAAAACAGTTTGTGCACTGGCATGGCCCACAAACCATGCTTTGAGTAGCACTATTTAAAGCATGGACTGTAGTGCTAGAAAGCCTTTGTGTGTCTTTGGCAAACTGCTTAATCTCTTGGTGCCCCAGTTTCCTCATTTGTAAAATAAAGGTAATAATAAACTACCTAATAGAGTTGTTGTGAGGATTAAATGCATTAATGAATGTAGCATACTTAGCCCAAGGTCTGACACACAGCATGCTCTACATAAATGCTTCCTGTTATTGTTATTAGCATTATTATTTTTATTATGTAGGTGGCGGATATCAAACAGTTAAGTGGTAACAAAGCCCAGTCTTTTTATTAATTCTCTGGTTTTTGCAGTAGCTTAGACTTTCTCCTTTTAAAAATATACCACAGTTTGTGGCATCTAGTGGCTTCCAATGAATATCTTTTGGACATAAGTATAAAGTACTTTTCAAGCACAGATGAAGAAGCAATTATTTTTCTGAAGGGAGGATTGGTAAAAGTATTGAGAACAGATGACAGTTGAGAGGGCCTCAGTGGATGAGTCTGACAGGCAAAGAGGAGAGGACACACCTGGCAGAGGGAGCAAGGATACCCATTTGGATTATACTCTATTTAGGAGACTATACAGCAGGTAACACTGCCTTAGCCCTATCACTGCTACCACCACTTCTTTCTCTCCTTCCCAGCTCTTTTCTTGATTTATCCTTTTAGCATATTTTAAACAGGATTAATAGGTAACACGTGATTCTACAGTTTTAAGGGAGGTCAATCATTGCCTCTTGTTCATTCCTCAGAGTAACAGTGCCCGAATTTGATGGTGGATGTTGGGCAGTGGTTGGGAAGGGAAGCGGAATGCTGCTTGAAAAGCAGTCCCTGGGTTATGAACAGGTAGCTGTGAGATTCTTTTCCCTTAAAACATAATGTTTCTTATTTATGTAGATTATCTTAACAAGAAAACCAACTGGAAAAAAATGAAATTCCTTATCTTCGCATTTTTTGGTGGTGCTCACCTTTTATCCCTGTGCTCTGGGAAAGCTATATACAAGAATGGCATCTCTAAGAGGACTTTTCAAGAAATAAAAGAAGAAATAGCCAGCTATGGAGATGTTGCTAAAGCAATTATCAACCTAGCTATTTATGGTAAAGCCCAGAACAGATCCTATGAGCGACTGGCACTTCTGGTTGATACTGTTGGACCCAGACTGAGTGGCTCCAAGAACCTAGAAAAAGCCATCCAAATTATGTACCAAAACCTGCAGCAAGATGGGCTGGAGAATGTTCACCTGGAGCCAGTGAGAATACCCCACTGGGAGAGGGGAGAAGAATCGGCTGTGATGCTGGAGCCAAGAATTCATAAGATAGCCATTCTGGGTCTTGGCAGCAGCATTGGGACTCCTCCAGAAGGTATTGTTTGTCTTTTCAGTTTGATTTGCATTTTATAAAACTAATGTCCCTTGGTGTAATTGAGTACAATATGCATGATTCATATTATAATTTGGATAATTTCTTATTCCATTGGCTTAATGAGTTCTCTACCCTTTTTTGTCCTCCCATTTTTTTTTACTTCTGTTTCTTTTGTGAAAGAGAACTGATCATGTTGGATCGCTTTTTAAATGTAGAATCTGTAGCTACTGGTCCATGATACTTACCAGCCCTATCATTTTGTAATTGCTATCTAGTTAAACATTAGCATCATTCTATGGATAATTGAAATATATATAAACAGGATACAAAAACTATGACTTCTTCCAAGTGACCTCAGTGTGAATTATTTTTTAGAATTAATGAAATAGAGAATAGAACATTGCACTCTGAATTGATTTAATTATTTTTATAGAACTGAGGTTTCTACTTTAAGGAATTATCCAAGGTTGAGTTCTACCTTTACTTATAAGCACCCTGGATCAACTTTATCAGATAATATACAATAAATGCCCAGATCAGAGATATATAGCCAGTCATCAGGGAGCTATCAGTTAGCCTTGAATATATCCATGGGCTAATTTCCAGTGGCAGAAGAATGAGTTTCTATTCTTTTGACTTTTTTGGATGCCAAGAGAAAGGGCCAGTGTAGAAGTACATTGTCAGTTTAAAACATTGTTTATCCAGATATAATTCACATACTATGATGTTCACCCATTTAGAATGTACAAGCGATTTTTAGTATATTCACAGAGTTGTACAACCACCACAATCTAATTGTAGAACATTTTCATCACCACAAAAAGAAACTCTGTGACTATTAGCTGTCATCCTCCAGTCTACCTATATCCCAGCCCTAGGAAACCACTAATCTGCTTTCTGTCTTTATGGATTTGCTTATTCTGGGCATTTTATGTGAATGGAATAATACATTATATGATCTTTCGTGAATGCTTTTTTTCATGTAGCATACTGTTTTCCAGGTTCATATGTTGTCACATGTTTCAGTATTTCATTCTTTTTATTGCTCAGTAATATTCCATTTTATGAATGTATCACATTTTTATTTGTCCATGCATCAGTTGATGGACATTGAGATTATTTTCACCTTTTAGATATTATGAATAGAGCTGCTGTGAACATTCATGCACAAGTTTTTCATGTGAACATTTGTTTTCATTCCTCTTGGGTATAAAGCAAGAAGTAGAATTGTTGGGTCATATACCAGCTCTGTGTTTAACTTTATGAGGTATTGCCAAAGTGTTTTCTGAAGTGGCTGCACAGTTTTTTGTACCCACTGACAATGTATTAATTTTTCCATATGCTTGTCAACACTTGTTATTATCTGACTTCTTGGTTATAGCTATTCTAGTGGGTGTGGAGTGGTATCTCATTGTGCTTTTGATTTGCATTTCCCTAATGACAAGTGATGTTGAGCATCCTTCTATGTTCTCACTCACCCATTTGTTTACCTTCTTTGGAGAAATGTGTATCCAAATTCATTGCCCAGGTTTTAATTGGACAATGAGATTTTTATTATAGAGTTTTAAAAGCTTTTTTATGTATTGTGTATACAAGTCCCTTTTCATATATTTGATTTACTAATGTTCTCTCCATTCTGAGGATTGTGTTTTTTTTTTCTTGATGGTAATATTCGCTACAGAAATATTTAATCTTTGATTTAGTCCAGCTAATTTATTTTATTTCTTTGTTGCCTGTGCTTTTGGTGTCATATCAAACCATTGCCTATACCATAGTCACAAACATTTACTACTACTATTGTAATGTATTTAGGTCTGTATATCTTTACTCTCATCTCATATTTTCTTCTAAGAATTTTATGGCTGCTATCCTTACATTTATATCTGTGAATTAATTGCATTAATTTTTGTATATGGTAAATGATAAGGCTTCAGCTTTCTTCTTTTGAATGTGGTCATTCAGTTGTCTCAACTTCATTTGTTGAAAAGGCTATTCTTTCTCCTTTAATTCAGTGCATTACATTAATTTATTTTCAGATGTTAAAAAACATTGCATTACTGGTATAAACCCCACTTGATTATAATACATAATATTTTTTATATGGTGCTGAATTCAGTTTGGTAGTATTTTGCTTAATATTGCATTTATATCCATAGGGATATTGGATTGTAGTTTCATTTTCTTGTAATGTCTTTTTTTTTGTATCAGAGTAAGACTGGCTTCATGAAATCAGTGGCAAAGTGTCACCTTATCTTCCATCCTTTGGAAGAGATTACAAATGACTGCTATTAATTCTTTAAATTTCTGGTAGAATTCAGTGAGGCAATCTCATTCAGGGTTTTCTTTGTCGGAAGACTTTTAATTATTAATTCAATTTCTTTACTTGTCTAATCAGATTTTCAGTTTCTTCTTGAGTCAGTTTTAGTAGCTTGTGTCTTTAGAGAAATGTATCTGTTTTATCTAAGTCATGTAATTTGTTGGTGTACAGTTATTTATAGTATCTTATTATAATTTTTTATGTTTGTAAGGATAAGGGTCTAAATCACTGCTGTCACTTGCTTTTGGGCAGAAAAACTTTGTTTAGATTTTTCTGGCAGCAAATTCTCTAAGCCTTTTTTCATCTTTATCTCTTTATTTAAACTTCAGTTTTGAAAGATAGTTTTACTAGACATGAGATTCTTAGTTGACAGGTTTGTTTTTCTTTTCTTTTTTTCTTTTTTTTTTACTTTCAGCACTCTGAATACATTATCCATCCCATTGCCTTCTGGACTCCATTGTTTCTTTTTTTTTTGAGATGGAGTTTCCCTCTTGTTGTCTAGGCTGGAGTGCAATGGCACAATCTCAGCTCACTGCAGCCTCCACTTTGCCGGTTCAAGTGATTCTCCTGCCTCAGCCTCCCAAGTAACTGGGATTACAGGTGCACACCACCATGCCCAGCTAATTTTTTTGTATTTTCAATAGAGACAGGATTTCACCATTTTGGAGAGGCTTGTCTCGAACTCCTGGACTCAGGTGATCTACCTGCCTAGGCTTCCCAAAGTGATGGGATTACAGGCTGGAGCCACGATTCCTGTCCTGGACTACATTGTTTTTGATGAGATGTCGGCTATTACTGTTTTGGAGGTTTCCTTGTATGTGATGAATCATATCTTCTTTATTGCTTTCAAGATTTTCTTTTCCTTTTAGATTTTTGTTATTTTGATTCTAATGTATCTAGGTATGTATATCTTTATTCTCATCTTACTTGGAGGTTGTTGATTTTCTTGGGTGTGTAGATTGAAGTTTTTCATCAAATTTGAGGTGTTTTCAGCTATTATTGCCACAATTTTTTTTCTTCCCTTTTTTCTTTTTCCTCTCCTTCTGATACTTCCATTTATTGTGTGTTGGTGATTTAATGATGTCCCATATTTCTCTTAGGCTCTGCTCATTTTTCTTTATTCTTTTTTTTCTTTGTTCTTCAGATTGTATGACCTCTATCAATCTATCATCAAACTTACTGATTCTTTCTTCTATTAGCTTAAAGCTACTATTGAGCCTCTATACTGAATTTGTCTCTTTAGTTACTATACTTTTAAACTCCATAACTTCTCTTTGGCCTTTTTAAAAAATAATTTCTGTGACTTTATTGATATTTTTTTATTTGATGAGATGTTGTCATCATATCTGCCTTTAGTTCTTTAAGTATGGTTTCTTTTAGTTCCTTGAATATTTCAATAATAGCTGCTTTGAAGTGTTTGCTATATCCCACATCTGGACCCCCTAAAAGACAGTTTCTACTGCCTACTTCTTTTTTTCTTGTGTATGGGTTATACTTTGTTGTATCTTTTTATGCCATAGTTTTAAAAACAGAAAGCCTGAATATTTAAACTAATGTTTTATGGCAACTCTGGATACTGACTCATCTTCCTTCCTTTCCCCCCTCCATTTACTTGGTCGTTCATTTGTTTAATCGCTTGAATGTATTAACTCTGTGACATCTATTTCTCTTACACTGTTCAGCTTCTGAAAATCCTGTTTAGATTGTTTTTTTTTTCTTTTAGTTGGGTTCCCTATGAGTCACCCATAGGTCTGCATAAACCACTTACTGGTCAAAGGTTATGCTTAGGTTCCTTTAGCCAGTTATGTTTTTACTCTTTGCCATTGGATGTTTTTGTGACTTGGAGTCTGTTATTACAACCTAAGAAGTCTATTTTTTCTCCCAACTTTGGCCAAGGCCAAATGCCTTGGAAGTTCCTTGTCTAATCACTTCTGCGAGGGTGCGGCCTTGGGCATGCACACAGCCTTCCAGATTACCAGAATGCAAGTAATTTTATTTTTAAGCATGGCTTAGTAGTATTTTCTCCAGGGTCAGAATAGCTTATTTTTTAGCCAGTGTTTGCTCAGAGCTTGTACTTAAACACTTTGAGTGAGTGAGGCTTCTGCCCTTTGTTGACGAATCTGTGTGCAGCTTGGGAAATGTTTTCAAATCTGACTCACGTGTTGTTTTGATTGTTCCTGAGTAGGTATAGCCTAGGACATGTGTGTAGCTTTTCAACCCCCAGGGTTTACTGGGATCCCAGGAAGGCCCTTCTTGGTTGTTTCTTTCTTTCGTTCTGTTAAAGCTATGGTGGTTCTGCCATTTTGCTTGTTGCTAGCAGTATCATGAAGCTACCAGCACTCCCTTAATTGTTCTTCGCCAAGCTCTCCATTATTTTCAGCAACACCCTTAGGCAGGGAATTCTCCATTCTCTGCACTAAACGAAGTCACTAACATCAATAAGAACTATGGAGCTCTTCATCCTTATGACTTCTCTTCCTCTGGGAGAACATTCGTGCTACTCCATGGGAGCTAGCAGTGATAGTGGCACCACCCAGTGGCACCCAGAGTGATATCCCTAGTGGATGATAAGATGATAAGAAGGGAGAAGGAGGTAGTTCTCAGCCTTGTTGGCTTGCAGCTTCCAGTGTGGGACCACCTCCTATGACTGAGCTGAGAAAGGGGTGATCAGAGTCTTAGTATT